CAGTCCGTACTTGGTTGGCTGCAAGGCAGGGTGGCCTGGCAACAGTCAGTAAAAAATGGGGAGAGCAAGCCTCCTCTCCTCCCTTATATTGTCCTCAGGCCACTCCCCAATGCCCCAGGGCGGGTGTAGCCCTTAAAATCTCCTTGGCCTCCTCTTGCACAGGATGAGGATATTTACAAAGTAAGGATCCTGGCTCCCTGCTGAGTCCTCAGTTACACTACTGAGCTTCTCTAGGTGACGCAGGGTATCAGCCATTATGTCCGCAGAGGGCCTGGAGCAAGCAGGAGCCAGGCAGCTGATGCTGTGTCTCTTCATCGCTTTGCAGACTTTTCCGAATCCTTCTGAGCTGCATCCCCAGGGCCTCCCATGGTGTTTCCTCTCACCTGCACCTCTGTTGCCTTTAAAGACTACGGTAAATGCCCCTCCTTCCACCCCACTGGTTATCCGTTGTCAGCCCTTGGGACTCTGGGGCTAGAGAACCTTTTCCATCACAGCTTGTTCCTGCCTCCCGGTGGGAGCTGAGGTGCATGCACTTGCTCTGACCCAGACAGGTCTTCAGGAGTTACTTCCCGATGGCTCTGATCATCAGCAAGTCGAGCAGCTCTTCGGCCTGCCAGCTCACCTCTCCCTTGTAAGGCTGCGGGTGGCAGCCGGGCACCAGGCACTCCCAGTTGCAGGGGACCCCTGTCACGCTTCTCCAGTGGCACCGTTACTGAGCAGAAGGCTCTACCCACGTACCTCGTAGTTGAAGCCAGAGCAGGGTCCATGGTCCCCAGAGAGCTTTATTGCTATCCGTAAATGTCAGAGAGTTTCATCCTCAAGGGCCACCTTTTCAGGAAGCCGAGTCAGCGGCAGTTTCCACAGGAGGGAGAGGATCGAAGATAGGCGTGGCTTCTCACAGGTAGAGCTTCACGGCCAAGTGGCCCACTAGTAATTTTCTACATGTACACGGACCAGTCAGAGAGGCAGCCACCGCGAGGCCCTTTTGCTGACCACCCAACTCACAGTATAGAAAGAAAGCAAACTCTACCTATTAGTATGGAGGATGAGGATGAGGTGAGGGGCTGGACGAGCAGGTGCCCTACTCTGGTGTGAGTGCTGGCCCACTGGAAGCAGTGCTCACCAGGCTTCAGGCGAGGGCTGGGCATCCTTCACCCATTACTGTTTAGATCTAGAACAGCTATAGAGAACCCATGGCACACATGCTGCAGGGGTGTTTGTATCATCGCAAGCTTTAAAAGATGTGCCATCATGGACTAGAATGTCCCCCAAAGCCTCCTGTTTGCAGAGGTAGGGATTTAGGAGGATGACTAGATCTTGGAGTAAAACATTCATCCATTGATGGATCTGTGCCTGGTTGTGTGTTAGGAGCTGGGGGCTGGTAGGGAGAGGTGGAGCATGCCGGGAGCGTGACCCGGAAGTGTGTATCCCCCTTCTGGGATCCCTGCTTCTCCAGCATCCTGGGCCCCTGGGTGTGAGCAGCTTCCTCCCGCCAGCCCCTTCCTGCCTTGGAGCCAAGCATGAGTCCCCTGCAAACGTGAGCCAAAATGAACCTGCCCCCTTTAAACTGTGGATAAGAGATGTCTTGTTCCAGCAGTGAGAAAGGGACTAAGACGACCCCTGCCTCCTGTCTCCTTTTGTGTGTACCTTTTAGTACTCAGGATGCAGATGAAGGGTTTAGGTTTGTGCACCCATTTCTCAACCAGCACAGCTCTCAGCAGTCGGTGCCGGGCAGCCTGTCTCACGCCCACTTCTGCGTCACCTGTCTGTTGTCTAGTGACCTCACCCGGAACTGTTTTCTGCCGTCCTGTCATGGATGGGTGCTGACGCTTGGTGTGTGGCTGACATACACAGAATCGGGCTGTGCCATCCAGCACCTGCCTGCAGTTGAGGCTTTTGATCCCTTAGCTCTGATTCTCGGAAGAAGCCTCCCAGTAGATGTGACCACTCACTCTCACTGGCGGGAAAAACTGGAGCTGCCGAAGAGGAAGCCGCTGTCTGTGTCACATCAGGCGGAAGGGAGGAGCAGGGATGTGCACTCTGGCCTTTTTGAACCCCAAACCAGTGCTTATCCCCAAGCTCTTCCTGGTGGCATCTTGTTACACACACACACACACATACACACACACACACACACCATTGACTGGGCCCTGAGTCACGGGACCATATTCACCTTGGAAATTTGTTTTTGAACAATTTTCCAATTATTTCTTCTTGCTAAGACTTTAAATCTGCTCTGGTTTTCTAGTGGTGCCATACAAAGGCATAAGCCTAGTGGCTTAGATCAACAGAAACTTCTTTTTTAAAAAAATTATTTATTTTATTTTGTTTTAAAGAGAATAAAGCCAAACAAAGCAAAACAGAATAAGGCCAATCAAGGCACAACAGTAAAACTGATACAGGCCTTGAAAACAAGAAAATAAGAAATCAAGATGGTTACCATGATGCCTTTTGTCAACAGAGCTGCCAGTACCAGCAGACATAATAAAATCAAACAGAACAGAACAGAATCAAACCAAACCAAACAATAAAAGCAACACAGAACTTCAAAACTAGATCATAGAAAATTAACAATGGCCATCATAATGCCCTTGTCGTCTTCAAAATAGCTGTCCAGACCACCAGATAGGCATGTAAAATTAACCAAACAATGTGAGAACTAAGTTGCTATTTTAGTGCAGTTGTTATCTTTGTGGAAACTTCAGGTGTGTGACTTTTAATTTCTACTGTGTCTGTGTCTCCTGAACTGGTTCTGTGTGGGTTGAGCTCTGGGATTGTAGTTCACGCTTTCGTCTTGACATTTTCCTGTGTTCCTCCACATCGGCCCATTGCTGCATCCCGGGTGCTTCCTGGACGGGCTGCCAGTCCCTTGGTGCGTCCTGAGTACCTGTCCAGGGTTCTGGGAGTAGTGGAGAGGCACAGGGTGGTGGTTCACCAATGCTCCTCCGATGGCTGTGGGGGCCGCGGGGTGTGGCTCCTTCTCCAGGCCAGCGCTGGCTTGCTGATCGGTCTCTCTGGGCCCCTAGTGCACAGCCTTGGTTTGTGGCTTCTTCCTATTAATCCCATTTGGTCACATATTTGGTTGAGCTCTGCTGTTTCTCTGCTGCCTCTGTCTGGTTGATCTGTCCCTCTGTGACAGTGGGGTGTTGAGGTCTCCCGTTACACCTGTGTTACTGCTTGCTTGATTTTCCCTGTCTGCCCCTGACTGTCTATACAGTTGGGTGCTCCTGTGTTAGGTGCATATGTATCTATGATTGTTATGGCACTGGTGTGTCTGCAGCCTTCTCATTGGCCCCAGTCAATCTTGTGTTATTCCTCTTTGCTTCATCTTGTAGCTGTTGAATTGATTTCTCTTGCTGTTTTTGAGATATCTTTCTTTGCATGATCACTAGCTGCAATTCTGTCCTCAATCTGAAATTCCATTCTTTCCTTCAATGTGTTGCATATACTTGCAGTGGAGGTTTTAATCTGGATTTCTGCTTGGATCTGTTTCGTGGGTTCCATTTCTCTCCTCTGTTGGGCATTTTTTGTTTCCGTCTTTTCTAATCTCTATTCTTTTATCTGTGTATTCTCCATTATCTTTGTTTTTAGCAGCATTTCTTTTGGTACTGGAGAGATCATTTTCTGTGTAGCCTTTGCCCCTTGTTTTTTCTCTTCTGCTGTTAGCATTTCAGAAAGTCGCCGTGACTGTCTTCTAGGCCCGTGCTGTGGGCTGGGGCTGGGGCCGCACCCACCTCTGCGTCTTGCCCTTCTCTACCTCGCTTTTTCTTGTATTTTGTCTTGTATGTTGGCACCCGCCAACCTCCCATGATATATAGCTCTTCACTAGCATTGAGGCCTCTCTCCTGAGAGATGTCTGCTCCTCAGGGAGGTCCTCCAGGTGTACTTGGTTCTTTATAGCTACCCCAAGAACCTACCTTTTGGTGCTTACAGTTCTGCCATGATTTCCGTGTTGCATCCCAGAGATGTGCTGGGTGCAGAGCCCATCTTGGCCTCTGGATGTCCGGGCTGGGACCCGTCTTCCGGCGGTGGAGTTCTCCAGAGCCCAACTGGTGTCTCCTCACTGTGCTTCAGATGCTTCCCCATGATCGTCTCGCTGATTACATCGCCCTCCAAGGTGTGTGTGCGTCTGTGTACCATGCTGGTGTCCTGGGTCCTGGGGTTTCCGTCGGTCTTAACCTCTTCCAGCCACCCCGCCATCGGGGATGTAGGAGGGGCGCAGAGTGTGAACTCACTGTCTGCCAGTTGGCCCCACTGTCCGTGTCCCGGATGGACCAACACAAACTTGTGATACTAATGCTTGGCCAGTGAGAAGGCCATCTCAGACTCTCAGGGTAAAATCCAGGCATTGGCAGCTCCCCTGGGCTGTGGCCAGGCCTGTTTCTTACCTTTCTTAGCCTCTGTAGGCTGCTTGCTCTCCTTGGCTCACAGCCCCTTCCAACATCTTCAAAGCTACCAAGGTCACATCTTTCCCTGGCTGCTGCTTTCTCCATTTCTAAGAACTCATGTGACGAGGGTGGACTCACCCTGATCAGCCAGAATACTGTTCTATTTCAAGTGCACATTTAAGCACCTCAACAAAATTTCCTTTGCTGGCTAAGGAAAGGAGAGGTAAGGTACCCACAGATCCCCAAGGATTGGGACCTGGACTCCCTGAGGCCATTCTCCTGCTGTCCACAATAACTGAACTCTTCATATAGTGAATGTGAAAGAAATTATTCTGTGGACATTAGAATTTTGACCAAATCCCTTGTTTTCTCCTTCAATCTGTGCTATTCACAGAATGCAGAGATACAAAGATGGGTAATTGGTTTGATTTTTCCTTTCTTTTTAAAAATCAATTTGTAGTGCTATTTTACTAAATGATTTGGTTTTCCCCTAGGTTTGAAGCTTCATATAAATTCATTGCTGCCTGTTTCAGTTCAGCATTAAGCATCTGATTCATGTGGTGTTACAGAAAAAAATATTTACAATAATGTTTCTGTTTTCTTTTAATACAGATTTGGATTTAAAACCACCGCTAGAATCAATTGGAAGCAATTTTTAACATCATATTATGAGCTTCAGGGCTTGGAAGCTAGCAATACCGTTCCCCCCCTAAAGAGAGATAGGTATGTATAAATCCAGCTAAATTCCAGGTGTACAAATCATCTTATGTAGAAGGTTCGAGAATACCTGAGTTACTTTTTCATCATTTATTGCGTGACCAATTAAGCTCCCATCCAACAGTCAACTTTTCCATGATGGTTCACAGCTCATAAATATTTTTCATATTTAAATCTGCCTTAAAGTCTGAGTTTGGGACGGTTATTGTCCCATTTTCTAGGTGCGGAAAATAAGACGTAAGGGATCTTAACTGGGTCAGGCGCTGTGCGCCAGGCGAGGTCCCCCCATACCCACCCTGGCTGCTTACGCTGCCCCCCTCTTTTGAGCACAAAGTATCACATACTGGCCTCATTACCTGGAAAGGAGCAGTAATATGAGCCCCCGTTGGTGGTCACTGTTGGGGGGTTCCGGGGGACGCTGGCCTGGGGCATCACTTCTAATGCCTGTTATAATTTGCAATTGCAATTTCATGGAAGTTGAGATGGGGCCCCAAGAATATTCTTAAAACTACTTAATAACCTGGCACTTCAGAATTTAGACTTCAGCTCTAAGAAGTCTTTTTGTTTGTATTGATGTGTACCCCATGGATTGTCCTACGTAGATCCTAAAGAAACGCATAAATCGGCTTTGTAATCTCAGCATGTGAGGCAAAATGCACCCCAGAGTGAACTCCCCCGGGGCCCCTCCCTGTCAGGATTTATGAGTCTTTAGTGACCGTGCTCCCTCCTCGCTACGAGTTCCTATTTTAAAGGAAGTTACTGAGCTGCTGTATAATTTTCTGGTCTGATCACACCGGTCAGAATTTTAGAAGTTTCATTTACTGTAAAACACTGGGTTCCCAATCAGAGGCAGCCTTGCCTCTTAGGTGACAGTTGGCAGTGTCACAAGATGGACCAGATTGTCACAACCGGGCGTGGAGACACCTTCTGCTATCTAGTGTCCTGCTGTGAGTGTCCCACAACACCCAACGGCAGGCCTTCGTGTCGGGGCTCCTCTCCGGGAGGCCTCGTCACACCAGCGCGGGTGATGGTTTGGAGAAGCAGGTTCCAGGGATGGACTCCGCGTGTATCTGAAAGTGGCCCAAAGTGTGGGTTGCACGCTTTGCACAACGGGAAGAAGCCAGGGTGGCTGTCCAGATGCAGCCAAACCCCCAAACAAACACGGGGACAGTGCCAGGGGAAACCCACCCACCATCCCTGTCACCTAGCAGGAAAGGTGCAGGGGTCTAGTGGAACATTTGTGGTGACCCAGGCAGCTCTTGAGGTCCCTGGAGTGAAGGACCAGAGAGGACGAGAAAGAAGAGACAAAGCGGGGGGCAGGTGGAGCCCTGACTCTCCTGAGGGCAGGAAAGGAGCTGCCCCCCACTACAGGGTGCTTATTTATACCTTTAGCAACTTAGAGTCACGTGATGCCCTGTTGTCCTAGCAACCAGTTGTTCAGATGGCCTTAGGGCTGGTGTTCTCTGGGCTGAAGCAGCGTCCTCACGCAGCCGCCCGGCCTCTGTGTTCTGGGATGGTTCTGCCTCAGCCTTGCACGTGTAGGCAACTGCCAGCTTCAAGGGCTCCCAGCAAGCGTTAAGGAAAAGGAGGGCAGCAGATTCATCCAAAGTTGCTTTTGACCTCCATCCAGGGTGGGTGCACGTGGTCTCCAAGAGTGCGCGTGTGGGCAGTGCAGCCTGAGCTCGACCAGGCCGGTCGGTGGGCGGGGGCGCAGCTGACTGGCACCTGTGAGAACTGCATCCTATTGGATGCCACACCCGCCAAGGGACCAGTGCCCTGTGCCGTCAGCAAGGCGGCTCCCAGAGTCGGTGCCATTGCAGCTGTGCGGCGCCTGCAAGCGTGTAATCTCACGCCCGTGTTTCTCCCCGTTCTTTGGTAGCACCCACTCCCGAAGCCGATCTCGGAGGGAGAATGCCGTCACAAAGCTGCTCAGACGCGCCGAGGCCAGCTCCGAGCCCCTGAGGAAAGCCTTGCTGATGAGCAGCTCCACCGTAAGCCTTGGGTCCCTTCTCGGTCGGGAAACACTGCCACCCTGCATTCGCTCACTTAGCCATCCAGCGAACGTTTTCTGAGCTCCTCTTGCAGGCCGAGAATTGTTGAGGGCTCGGGGTTGCCAGGCCTGACCTCCAAGGTTGTGTCTAATTGAGAGGAAGAGAGCGCATAGAATCAATCGTAGGACAGTAAGGGAACTGCCTTCGGCAGTGACATCCGCACACCGCAGGACAGAGTGGAACGGTATTCCGCACTGGCTGTTAACTAACAAAGAACATTTCCTTGGCTCCAGAACAGCCTGTCTAGTCTTTAATCGTATGATACAAGATTGATTCAGGAGTTTGCAACTGGCTTCTCTGGCTTCCAACCCTGGTTTGATTAGAAGCAGCAGTCGGGTACTCCTGATACACAGGGACAGCTCCCAGGGTCATTTCCTGAGTGTGTTCTGCAACCCAATCACTCATGAATAACCAGGAGTAGAAATTTCCTATCCTTAGACTCGCGTAGGACTCTGTAGAAAACATGTCCTACAGAAGCCTCGGCATCTGTGAGCGTCGCCTGGGGTGTGCTCTGGGGACAGCCCGCTGCCAGCAGGTGGGCTAAGGACCCGGGCGTGCCCTGCTGTGATTGAAGCTGTCCCCTTTCACCCAGGCAGATCCGCCCCAGGACCCCGCCCCACGCATGCCCTAACTCGCAGGTCCACAGAGGCTGGTACAGTCGTGTGATGGTCACAGGTGCAGAGAAATGCGTCATCACATCATGCCACCGCCCCAGAACATGAGGGAGTGTCCTCCTGTCCTTGCACTGGCCGGGAGGGTGCAGCCGAGACACTCCCAGGCCACGTGGTATTCGCCATTGCGTGTGTGGCCTGCCCTTGACCACACTGGGCGACCAACAACTGTATGTACTGGCTTTTGCCCCACACACACCCCTGCGGTGAAGTGTAATTTATAAATTAGACCCAGTAAAAGGCTAATAATAGTAACATTTATTACTGTTATTAGTAAATAATAGAAAGTAGGGAAGTTACAAAGTCAAACTGTAATAAAGTCGCTGTGAATGCGACTCCCTGCCTGCAGCGTTTTATCCCAGTGTCACACTGGCCGCAGGGGACTAGGTAACTGAGGCCACAGAGAGCAGGGGGACAGAGAGAGGGGCAGTCTGTGGGTGGCGGGACTCGCCCAGTCCTCTGCCAGGTAGATGCTGTCACCTCCTGGCAGAGCAGGGAGGGAGCGGGCCTGAATGTCCAGCTGAGCCCCTGCTGGGCAGCGGCGTCCCCAGCCAGGCAGCAGGCTCCCCCGGGCCCAGTCTGCTGCAGGGAGGAGCTGACCATCGGTGTTGGATGGGCCACCTGGACAAGGGTGAGTGAAAGCTTTGCGGAGTTTCCCAGCACTCGGTGCTATTAATAAAGCGAAGCAGTAATTTAATTAAAAATAGCCTACTTTTCATTTGTGCTAATGGAGGGCTGTGATAATGCGAAGCCTCCAAGCACCGGACTGTGTGAGAGTCATCGTTGCACCGTCCAGCTCGAGTCCAGCACAAAGACACACACACACACACTCTCACAATCATGCTCGCACAGTGTAGGTTAGGAATTGAGTCTCTGACCCACACTGGGCCCTGCACTGGGCACTTAAGCTGTGCATGTAGATGGACAGTGCAAAGCCACTGCGAGCCGTGAGCTCGCCCTCCGGAGCATGGCTGACAGCAGTGACGCCAAGTGCCCTGGAATTGCGCAGTGCCTGCTTTCCCGTGGCGCCCACCCCACACCGCCACATCATTTGCCTCAGTCTCGGGCACTTCAGGGTCCTGGAGAGCGCTGGATAAGAGGGGCAGAAGGGGACCCCCAGGAGGCAGGGCCGGGTCTGCCTGGTGAGAGAGCGCAGCCCTGGGAAACAGGTTCCCTGGCTGCTCGAGGGAGGACCACAGAATGGGCAGAAGAAAGGCCGCTGAGACCGGCCCTGAGCCAGGTGTCCCCGTGCTGTTTGTGCTCTTGCAACCCTGCCACCACCTCGTGATCATTTGCTGGTAGCATGATCTTATTAGTGGAAAACATCCCCACCAAATGGTGAATTAATGTTAGTGTTTTGAAGGTCATCGGCTACTGCAAGGTCATAATGCAAGAACCAATAGTATTTTTGTAAACTTCGCAGTAAACAATGTAAGAATTTTAAAATATCATTGCTTATAACATATTTAAAAAATCAAGTAAGTCTCTATATTGAAGATTACAAAGATTGTTTACAGAAATGATACCAATACTTCACAAACTTTCAGAAAGTATGAGAAAAAGAAACACGTTCCACTTCATCCAGGGTAGCCGACATTACCCCAGTGCAAATTCAGACAGAGGCATCAAAAAAAACAAAAATAACAACAAAACAAACCACAGACCAATATCCTTAATGACTGTAGACTCAAAACGCTCATTGAACTAAACCCAGGGACATAGAACAGAGATTAGGTGCAAAAACACAAGGGATTTATCTCTGGATTGCATGGTTGGTTCAACTCTCTCTAATCAATTAATATAATGCATAATATTTATAGAAAACAAGGAAGTCAGCTCTAGCTGTTTCTATTCAGCAGTGTACTGGAGTTCCAGACAGCCCAGTTAGAAAACAAAAGCAGAAATTAAAGCCATCCAGTTTGTAAAAGAAGAGGCAATACCGTCTTTATTAAAGGACAACGTTAGGCTGGGCTGGTGACGCATGCCTGTAATCCCAGCACTCGGGAGGCTGAGGCAGGAGGATTGTTATGAATTTGGAACCAGCCTGGGCTACACAGTGAGTTCAAGCCCAGCCTGAACTGCAGTGTGACCTTGCCTCAAAAAGACAAAAAATAAATTTAAAAATTAATTAAAATAAAATAAAGAACAACATGATCTTATGCTTAGAAAATACTAAAAAAAAAAAAAAAACAACCCTCCCAATACACACACTCCTAGAACTAATAGAGTTTGCAAAGGTTGCAGGATATGAGACCAGTATACAAAAATCAGATAAATTTCTGTGAACTAGCAGTGAAACAATCAGCAAATGAACTTGAGAAAGCAATTCCTATCACAGCAACATCAACAGAGTATAAAATTCTTAGGAATAAATTCATCAAAAGGAATGCCAAGTGAAAACTATGAAAGTTTTTAAAGAAGTTAATAAAAAAGATATAAATAGAAGACATTCTGTGTTCATGGATTAGAATACTCAGCATTAGTAAGATGGCAGTTCTCACCAAATTAATCTATGTATTCAACGCAAATGCTGTCAAGTGGCTTTTTTTTTTTTGCAACTGAAAAATAATCTTAAAATTCATATGGAAATACAAAGGTCACAGAACACCCAAAATAATCTTAGGAGGAAGAACAAAGTTAGAATACTTAAGCTTTGATTTTGTATTTTAGTATAAGCTGTAGTAATAAGGATTGTATGCTGCTGATAAAAAGGATAAATAAATGGATTAATGAAACAAAATTCAGAATCTAGTAATAACCTTTTACACTTACAATCAGTTCATTTTTAACAAATCTAATGGAGAAAGGAAATGTTTCTTAGAACGGTGCTGAGAAAACTGAATCTTCATATGCTAAAAACTGACTCTTGCCGTGTGACAAGTAGACCTCGGTGTGAGAGCTAAAATGATAAAGTCTTAGAAGAAAAGCGTGCACGTGAATCTCGATGGTTTTGTGATAGGCAGGCGTTTCTTAGATACAACATCAAAAGCAAGAATAATAAAGGAAAAAATCAACATGTTGGACTTCATCAAAATTCAAAATTTGTGCTTCAAAAGATACGATCCAAAAAGAGGAAATAAAAGCAAAAAGACAAGCAGACAGGGAGTCAGTGGGCACAAGTCTTGTCTCTTGTAAAGGACTGGTGTGCCCAGAATTTATAAGACTTCTTAGAACTCAGTAAGAAAATGGCCCGATTTTTAAAGTGAGCAAGAGATTTTAATCCCCAGAAGATATACCAGTAGAGCCAATAAGCACCTGAAGAGATGCTCAACATCATTAGCTGCTAGAGAGAACCCCAGTGAGACACCGCTCTCTCCCATCTGAACGGCTACAGTTTGAAAGACAGACCACAGTAGGGGCTGTCGGGGATGTGGAGGTCCTGGAACTCTGGCACTGCGGATGGGCGTGGAAATGGCAGAGCCACTGTGCAAAACGGTGGAGCAACCTTTTGCAAAGTTAAAGATAAGTAAGCACAGACCTCGCAATTCCTGGCCTAGCTGTCAGCCCAAGGGAGAAACAAGTTACACAGAGATGTTCATAGCAGTGTTACGCATGATTTCCAAGGCTAAACGATCCGAATGTTTATCACTCATGGCTGGATTAGCAAAACATGAGCTATTCACTCAGTGTAAAACCCGTAAGGAGCAAGGGGCACGGAACGCTGATGCGTGCCAGCACCTCAGAAGAACTATGCTAGGTGAAAAAGGCCAGACGCAGGGCACCGCCTGTGTATCACGTAATTGTGCTCCCGTGAAATCTGCAGGGAAAAGGCCATCCCACAGGGACCCGGTGCAAAGCCCCTGCCTTAGGCTAAGGATGGAAGCGGGAGGGCTCACACAGGCACGAGGAGTCTGTAGGGAGTGACAGAAATATCCCGGTGTTAGTGGGGATGGCGACACAGTGCCGTGCAATCACCAAGAATCATTTAGCAGCGGTCAGCGGTTCTGATTTGGACCTTTGAAACTGGATTTCATCCCCAGACCCCAAAGCAAGCATGCATGTGTCCCCTCATTTACTTTATCCCAGAGGACTTTGCCGCTTCCTGTGTTTTTGGCCCCACATAACAGTTGATATTTGCTGCTCTCCCACTTCATAAGCCATTTTTCTGCATTAATATTTATAATACCTCCCTGGGAGGCAGGGCTCTTTTATCTTTCCTGTCTTCCCAGTAAACGAGGGCCTGCAAATTTTCATATTTAATTTACTTACTGACAATTTTTTATCCTGGGGGGAAGAGATCTGTTTGGGCATTTTGCTGTAATGTGTGGTCTCCACGCGGCATGGCTGCAGTGTTTCAGGCTAAGTAATTGTCCGTTTATGTAATGGATGAGGTTGGCAGTCCTGAAAACAAGCAGAGCTGATTGACATCCTGAGCACGCTGGCCGGTTGCGATGGCCTGCCGGGAAGTTCGAGCCGCCCAGCTGGGGCTGGGGAAGGAGGACGCTGGGCTCTAACACCTGGGGAAGCGCCAGCCTCTGCCTCAGACCTGGCTTTGCTCCTTGGGTGCCACCTTCTGCCAGTCCTGATGGGGCATCACAGGAAGTGTGCCTGGGGTACACGCCCCGCTCTGGACACACATGTTATGCGATGGTCATCAATCATGACACTCCCATTTCAAATCATAGTCCTGTGCTAAAAGACCTGGTCCTTCCACACCCTTTAAAACGTCCCTTGTTTACCCTCTCCTTCTCAGAAACCCGGCGGACGGATGACAGGGGACGAACTGAGACAGATCCTAAGTGCCACGCTGGTGAAAGTCAGTGACTCAGAATTCAGAGAGCTCATGAGGACGCTGGACCCCGAGGCCACCGGAGTGGTCACAGCCGGCTCCTTTCTTGACCTGCTGGAAGCCAGCCCCAAGGTAAGCCGAGGCCTCCTCTTCACGGCAGGCGCCTGAGGATGCTCAGTCCAGTAAAAGACGCAAGGGAGGCGGGGCTGAGCTGACATTAACGGCTCCACGTTGTCCCCTGACTTAGCTTTCCTTTTAGCAAGAGTTAAGTGATTGAGTTATTTGATTCTGAGCCTTATGGGAGGACTATACCTGACATTTCTGAACACGCACCCTAAGCGGCAGCCCTTGGTGGACAGGACGCCGCAGCACCGCCACCGCCCTGTCGTGCCAAGGCGTGTCCGGAGAGATCTGGTGTCCGACGTTGATTCTCCAGCTTGAAAAATAACTGTTCACTGTTCTGTATCAAAACCATATACTAATCACAGCTGATGGCCTCTAGTGACCAAAACTTGATTTTATTGTTCCTTTTGAGGAAAAGCTGACAGTTTTATTATGAGAAATGTGTCTTATGATAATAGCTATTACGTTTAAAATTTTAAAGGATTGCTTAAAAAAGTTACAAATGTTTGGTGATTCTGCGAATAATCGGCAGCCGTGGTCGAATACGTGGGAAATGTGCAAACCGACAAAGTTGAAAATAATGATAAAAACCCCAAATCCCGATGCCCAGAAATCCCCACAATTAACATGCTGACGAATTGTCTGCTGTTCTGTGTGTGTCGCGTTTATTAAGCCAGGATGCAACTCGCGCTGTTATTTCTTAGTAGTGTGTGAGTTGGCGGTACACAGTAAGGACATTGGCCGGGGGCACCGGTGCCTGTGCCCGTGCCGCCTGACCTCACTCGCTCCCACCCTTCCCCCTCCTCCTTCCCCTTCCTTCCCTGCATCTTCCCAGCCCCGCAGCCCACCGCTGGCTTCCTGCCGTCTGTCTTTTGTATTGCCCTTTAAATTATTTACGTTTTGGGTTCTTCATCATAGAGAAAGCACGTGATATCTAACCTATGTGCCTGACATTTCACTTAGCATTGCGGGTTCAGGACGCATCTATTCTACAAACAATTCAAATGTATCCTTCTTGATGGCTGAGTAGTACTTTGTTGTGTAAATATACATTGCTTTTCTGTCTGCATTCGTCTGTCCATAGGCTGTTTCTGTGATTTTGCTGTTGTGAATTACGACCCCATTGCTGTAATCTAATAGCTTAACTCTTCCGGGAAGATACCCAGAAGAGGTGTAATTAGGTAAAAAGGAATTTCTTAGATTTCTGAGGAATTCCATATTGATTTCCACAGTGGCCGTACTAGTACACATCCCCAGCAGCAATGCAGAGGGGTTCCTTGTTCCCCACAACCTCTCCAGCAGTTTATTTTTGAGTCTTTTGTAATAGCCATTCTGATTAGAGTAAGATGGTGTGTTTTTTCTGGTTTGCTTTTCTGTAACAGCCAAAGGTACTGAACCTTTTCTTCATGTATTTATTTGGACTTGTTTTGAGAGGTGTCTGTTCATTTCAGTCGCCCAGTTTTGATCGGATCTCCTATGTGGAGGAGTCTAATTTTTTTTTAGTTGAGTTCCTTATATATTCTAGTTATCAGCTGTTTGTCTGAGGAGTAGCCGGAAAGAATTTCCATTCTGTGGGTTGTCTCCTCACCCTGTTGGTCATTTCATTTGCACTGCGGAAGCTTTTTAATTTGGTGTGGCCCCATGTGTTGACTTGGTGTGCCTTCTTATCCAACCTGGGCTCTGTCCAGGAAGTCCTTTCCTAGCCCTGTGCCCTCACGAGCTTTACCAAGCTTGTCTCCCAGCAGGCTCAGCGGTTCTGCGTTCCGGTCTAGGCCTGTGGTCCATTTGGGTTTGGTTTTAGTGCAGGCCAGGGGTCTGCATCAGGTCTGCCCCTCCTGCCTGGGGACAGCCAGTTCCCAGCACCGGCTGTTGGGGGCGCTGTCCCTTCGCCAGCACTTGTGATTGGCCCTCAGTGCTGCGTTTCCTGCCCGCCCCTGTGCTGAACGTGTTAGTGTGAGAGTCTTCTGCTGGAGGTTTTTGAATCTTCTACATAAGGGATCGTGACATCTGCAAATTAGGGTAGGTTGGCTGCTTTCTTTCCCATTCAAACCCTTTTGTTTCTTTCTCTTGCCTGGTTACCCTGCCTAAAATTTCGCGTCCTTCACTGAGAAGTGCTGGGAGCAGAAGCCCTTGCCTTTCTCCTGCTGTGGGCGGGGACGCTGCCCGCTTCTCCTCCTTTGGCAGGATGCCGCAGTGGGTTTGTCAGCAATGGCTTTTATCTCTTTAAGGTAAGATCCTTCTGTCTATTTTTGTCAAGCTTTTTTTAAAATTATGAATGGATGTGAATATTGTAAACGCTTTTTTCTGTGTCTGTTGGTATGGTCCTGCGATTCCTCTTTACTTCTGCTTGTGTGGTGCATCGTGTCTATCGATTTACAAATGCTGATTTACACATGATAAAGCCAACTTGGGCCCGATGCAGGTCTTTTTAATGATTTGTTGCCTTCTCTTTGCAAGTGTCTTGCTGAGGATTTTTGCAGCTATGCTCATTAGAGAAATTGACCTGTAGTTTTCTTTTCCAGTCGAGCCCTTAGTACCTGGGTAATAATGCTATATGTCGTTATTGTTAAACATGAAATGTCTCAGGGCCTGTCTCTTAGGAAAGCGGATGGGAAAGGCTGGCAGGGGCCAAAGGTAAGATGGTGGCAGTGTTTGTGCTGCACGGGCAGGTTAGACGGGGCCTCTGTCACCAGGCATCATGTGAGTGTGTGTGTGTGTGTCAGCTTTCTGTTGCTGTGACAAAACACCTGAGAGTGACAAAAGAGAAAAGGTTTCTGTTGGCTCAGGATTGGTCTGTGGTCATGTGACTCTTGTCCCTGGGCCAATGGGGAGACCAGGCAGCATGATGGGGAGAACATGGCGCCAGAGAGTGGATCCTCTCCTGGCAGACAGAGGTGGGGAGGGGTTGGAGGAGATGGAGCCCTTAAGTCATCCCCCATGACCCCCTGCCTTCAGTGAGGCCCCCTCTCAATAATACTCTCAAAGCCCAACCTCGTTCTGAACCTACCTGTCGATGCAGGAAGAGCCCTCGTGGTCCAGTCAGCTCCCCGAGGCCCACCCAGAGTCACCTTTAACACAGCAAGGCTTTAAGGAACATTCTGGATAATGACCACAACAATACACAGGCCGGGAAGGACACCTCGACTCAGTTACTGCTGGCACTTCTGTGCGAGGTGACATCAAGCCAGGGCACAGAGGCCACTGCTGGGAGAGAGCTCGGGTGCCCATGTTCAAAGCACAGCGCCCCCACCCGGGGCAAAACGTTTACGTCCCCGAGACTCGGGTCTCTGTCTGGGAGACAGGCTTGACAGCACACCCGCCTTGTCAGTTGCTATGGCGATTTGGCAAGATCGCACACACTCGAAATGCTGAGGATCTAGTAAACATTTAGTGAGTTCAGGCACCGTTTTAATATTACGGTTTCCTGAGCGTGCCCACCTCAGTGTGCACAGCACATACTGGGCACACACGGGACGTCTCTGGCCAAGTCCTGGCTACGGACTCCTAGAGCCCGGGCACTGGCCACGCCTTGAAGCGCCAGTCCTGCCTCTGCACGGGCAGAGCCTTCCTGTCTTCACTGCCCACTGCGCCACAGGGCCTGGCTCTCGGGTCATGGGCCAAGTGAATGAATGAGAAAAATCAGAACGCACGTGGGTGCAGACAGGAGAAGAGAAAAATCACTGATTCTAGCATCCAAACCGTGAGGCCCGCTGTGCCACTGTGCCGTGTCCTCCAAACCTGAGTGTGTGTCCACACACACACTCACACACACTCTTTTTTTTTAAACCCCAGCTTATTGAGGTGCAATTGATATTTTAAAAGCTGTGCCTACTTCATGTTTACCCTTCGATGAGCTGAGACACGCGCTCTCGCTTATTATTTTTATGTAAGAAGGGGGTGCTGTCACTGGTGCCTCTTTTGTCTCCGTTGTCATCCTTACTATATTGTGAGCATCTCACGGAAATTCTGCTACACAAGTTTAAAAGGTAACAAGTATCCCCCGCCATTGTAATTATGGGGCTTGCTTTTTGTAAATTTTGCCACAGTCAGTATCTTAATATCCGCTCGTGTGTATCGCTTCAGGACTAATGTTTTAGTATAAAATTCCAGAAGTTACTGAGAGGTTCCTGTGTGGGAATGTGTGTTTTGTTACTTTATCTTGTAAAGAGGAGCGTAGATGTGTAAGGTGCTTGCACGTCTGCATACACCCGAGGCTGGGCGCACCCCCCCGCCCCGAGAGCCCCCGAATTCCTCCACCCTGCTGTCAGGGCGTAGGAGTCACGTGCAAGTCCAGCTGCCTCCGAAGCTCCCGCACTTTCCAGAGGGCTTCATATTTACATCCTTTCTCTTTCCCACTTAGACGAGGAAAACGTCTCCCTGTACAGGCGCTAAGACGCCGCTTCCCTTGGCATGGGTTTCTGTAAGTAGCGCTTGGCTTTCTCTTTGTGCCGCCCTCCTACGCCCCCAGAGTGCCAGCACGCCGGGCACCCGCGTGCAGCCCAGTGACTGTGTGTTTCTGCGTTAGGTGGAAGCAATGGTTCACGACGCGATTGCTAAGAATCTGCAGGCTTTCTGTAACATGCTGCAGTCCTACGACCTCAGGGACACGGGGCTCATGGCGCAGAGTAACTTCAAGGCCGTCATGCGCGTATTCTGCCCATTTTTAACGCACGAGCACTTGAAAAAGTAAGTTCTCGGCTCCCCAGAGTCATTCCCTTAGTGTTTCTCACCAATAATACCCTTAGTAATCCTAAACATTCTTTTCTGTGTATTTTCCCAGTCCTAGTAGATAATATTGATAAATTGAACAAAATGTGGAAAAAGAAATCAGCCCTAGGGCTAGTGGGTAGCTCAGAGGTTGCAATCCACAGCTCTGAAAAAGGAAGAAAGACGGGAAGGAAAGAGGGAGGAAAGAGGGAGGGAAGGGAAGAGAGGAAGAAATCCTGCCGTTAGTGGTTTCCTACATTTACGCGAAATATTCATGTAGGTTAAAATGCTAATATAAGCACTTATGTGATTCCATAAAATTCATTTTTTAAATATTATGTCTTTATTTAAGTATAGTGGCTGGGTACATAGCTCAGTGGCATCAGTGCCTGGCTGGTCAGCCCCACGTCCTGAGTTCAATTCCTAGTACCAAAAAAAATATTTGGTATTTGAGTATAGTTAACAAAGCTGCACATTTTATAATGTAACTGGGTAAAATTCCGCCTGTGTCCACATCCACAAGACTGTCACAAGAAACCAAGATGTCACATGTTTTCACTACCCACTAAGAGCCTCCTCATGTCCCTTTGAAATTCACTGCTTCTTCACATCCAGAAGCCAACACCAACCAGCTGTCATGGTAGATTTTTCACATTTCTTAGGAAATGTGACAAGACATTCTCTTTTTTGTGTGACCGTGTTGGCTAAGTGTAATGATAGTGGGTTTCAGGCATGTTGTCAAATATTTCAGCAGTTTGTCCCTTTTCGTTGCCAAGTAGTACTCCACAGCATGGTTCACTAACTTGTGTGCACATCCTCTGTTGCTAGACATCTGGTTTGTTTCCAGCTTGGGGCTATTACAAATAAAGCTGTACATACTGTGCAGCTCCCTGTGTAGACACATTTTGATTTCTCTTGGGTAAGTGCCCAGGAGCAGAATGACTGGGTCCTCTGGTAGCTGGGCAGTCAGCTGCCAAGCTGGTTTCCAAGGTGGTTGTCCTGTTTTACATTCCCGCAGGCCTGGGCGAGGGCGGCACTTCCTCACCTGTCCACCGATGCTTGATGCTTGGCAGACGGAGTCAGGACTTTTAATCCCAGCCCATTCTAATGGGCGTGCTCTAATTATTTTTCAAATTCAGACTCTGCTATAAGTTTCAAGATCCGACCTCAGAAAAGATCCTTTACAAGAAGCTTTTGGCCTGCATTCGAGTCAGCGGCTCCCCCACGGTCTCTCCAAAGGATCAGCCATGCGGACATTTTCAAAAAGAAGAGGGACAGTTCTCCGGGAGGTAAAATAAAATGCAAGGGAAGCCACCTTCAGACCACAGTGCTTGGGCGACAAGGCAGTTAGTAAATCTTGGTTGGTGAGGTACTTGGGAAGTTCGTTGTTTGGATAGATGGCTCGCTCTGGGTACCCGTGACTACAGCAAAGCAGGGTTTTAGAAATGGTGAATCTGCGTGTGAATGTTTACAAGTGTGAGCACTGGCCTTTCCTTTGGGTCACTCATACACGTGGAGGCAGGACTGGGTTACACACCCACAGCTCGTCTCGCGGAGCTGCCCACAGCCGCTGCCCCGTACCTTGCACGCACTTCTCTTCCTTTCCAGAATCCTCGATTCCTGACCACCACGCAGTGTTTATTGCAAATCACCCCAGCAAGCCAGCCAGCATTTCCTAATAAGGATAACAGAATCATTAAAGCAGTCATCAAACTGAATCATAACAATAAAGCACAACTAGCGAATCCATTAAAAAAGCCGGACCCATGATTATTCTAGAGCTTCCTTTTTAAAAAATGCAGAAGTCATGTAATGAAAAGCTATTACGTTAACCTGCTCGTTCACGGCTTATCATAAATCCGTGGGAAAGGCAAAACCCCACGGACTTCACTGGGTTGTACACCTTTTAAAAAGTTAAGTGTGGAGCAGCGGAAATACCTTAATGATATGCTAATGAAATTTGAGTGTCTGGCTTTCCAGCAGTAGCTGCTTTATAAGCGAGCAGGAAGGTGGTATTTCAAGGAAAAGGTTAACTGTTCTGCAATTGGATACGTCTGCTTCCTGAGGCCCGTGGAAGAAGTAACGGCAATTAAGCGTTCCATAAAACCATGTAGAGTTTGGTCGAGGCCTCCTAAAAGTCAGGAGAGAAGGGAAGCTTGGAAACCCTTTCCCTACCGCTGCCGGTGTCTTCTATTCCCCGCCAGGGGGCCTATCATCTTCTATTGGGCTAATTAAAGAAATAATAAGGAAATAATTATCTTACATACACACACAATGAAATTACATTTTATAAGCCAAGTTGTTTTCACCCATAAACTCAGAATAACTGTGGCTTCCCTTCCTTTTCTAGAGATGTTTGATGACTTCCTTCCTTGAATCACCACCGAATGGCCCACTTCCTTAATGTGAAGCTTTGTCCTGGGCCCTAACTTTAAATTTTCATAAATCCACCTCTCCCCTGCCCGCCCCTGAGTGCCCCAGCTTCCGGCCACTCCCTCCAGCCCCAGCACCCTGGAACCCCAGCACCCGGGACCCCAGTACCCTGGGACCCCAGCACCCGGGACCCCAGCACCCGGGACCCCAGCACCCTGGGACCCCAGCACCCGGGACCCCAGCACCCGGGACCCCAGCACCCTGGGACCCCAGCACCCTGGGACCCCAGCACCCGGGACCCCAGCACCCGGGACCCCAGCACCCTGGGACCCCAGCACCCTGGGACCCCAGCACCCGGGACCCCAGCACCCTGGGACCCCAGCACCCGGGACCCCAGCACCCGGGACCCCAGCACCCGGGACCCCAGCACCCGGGACCCCAGCACCCGGGACCCCAGCACCCTGGGACCCCAGCACCCGGAACCCCAGCACCCGGGACCCCAGCACCCGGGACCCCAGCACCCGGGACCCCAGCACCCGGGACCCCAGCACCCTGGGACCCTAGCACCCGGGACCCCAGCACCCTGGGACCCCAGCACCCGGGACCCCAGCACCCTGGGACCCCAGAACCCGGGACCCCAGCACCCGGGACCCCAGCACCCGGGACCCCAGCACCCGGGATCCCAGCACCCTGGGACCCCAGCACCCGGGACCCCAGCACCCTGGGACCCCAGCACCCGGGACCCCAGCACCCTGGGACCCCAGCACCCGGGACCCGAGCACCCTGGGACCCCAGCACCCGGGATCCCAGCACCCGGAACCTCAGGAGTCTTAGCGCGGTGGTGATGAGAGCGCCCCCTTCAGGCCCAGCAGGAAGCCGGGCTGGGAAACCTCGTGAGGCCCGCCCAACAGGGGCCAGTGAGTCTGTGTGTCAGTCCACGATGCCAGCTCTTAAGCGCTTGCTTGTGATTTCAGAACCAAGCCCACCAGGGACAGGACCCCCACAATCAAGAACATGACCCGAGATGAAGCCATTGAAAACCTCAAAAGCCGCATCAAGCGGCAGGACCCAGTGTTCAGGAAGCGATTTCTGGAGGTCAGCGGGGGCCTGCTTGGGAAGATCGGCCTGCGGGACTTCAAGAAGGTAGGAACCGGTGCTGGGCGCGGCTTCCTCTGCAGGAGAGGACTCGAGGTTGTCCTAGGACAGTGCACATCCACTTCTAGGCCTCTTTCAATAGATGGAAAGATGCTTTTGGCCAAAAGCTGCCATTGGCAAGTTTCTCCTGCAAAGCAGGAGGCCAGTTGCGGACACTCCACCTCTAGAGAGAAAGCAGCCCACTCCTCGGCCCTGCACTGGTGCCTGGGGCCAGGGCAGAGTGGGGGACACAGCTCAGAGCTGCTCGGACCATCTACCTGCCAGGGAACCCTTCCCACGGTGTGAGATCACAGAGCTGGGGTTTGGTCCTCTAGAAAGTTGAAAAACAAAAAGCCAACCTGGCGGTGAAAGGCAGGGTGCGCTGGGTGCTAAGCTGTGCACACTGACCAGGCTGGCCAGCTGGAGCCAGGGAGGGCTCCCTGCAGGGCTCCGAGGCCCAGACTTCTCAGGGATTCATTCAAGGATCGCTGAGAGTTCCAGCCACCGTCCCCTAGCTATTTGGCGCTGGCTGTTCCTAAGAACGCGTTCTGGCTGCAGTGTCACAGTGCCCACGTGGAGAAGTGTCAGTGGTGATGCGAGGGCTCCCGTGAAGAGCCCTCACTCGAGGGGACCCTGTTTCTCTGATGCCCGTCCTGTGCCAGGCACAGTACCCAGCCTGTGTGTCCTGCTCCTCAGCCTGGTGGTGGGGCATCCTCATTCTGGGGTGCAGCACACAGGTGGGGGGCCGTAGAAAGAATGCAGACCCCTCTGTCCACCCCCAACACAGCAAAGCAGAGGGATGGTGACGAGGAGGATGAGCAGAAGCGGCAGAGCCACACAATGTTGGAAATAAGGGGTGTGGAGGGGCGGGAGGCTGTGAAGCGCTGAGCTTCCCTGGGTGGCAATCGGGCGGCTGCCGACCCCTCCCTGGTGACTGGTGAAGGGCACCCAGGCCCTACCTGGCTTCTCCTGGCACAGGGCAGTGCCCGTGTCCAGGGCAGGAGGGACTGCTGAACGGTGCCAGCTGACCCCTGCTCTGGGGCCGGCCCGGGGCCCTGTTCCTGCTGGGCTCTGTCTCCCCAGTGCTCCAGGAGTGTGGGGACGCCTCCCACAGAGCAGCCCCAGTCCAGAAGGGGAAGCCAGGTTGCAGCGAGCCTCTGGGTTTTTGCAGGGCTCTGCCCTGTGACCAGCGCGAGCTTTGCTGGTGCGACCTCTGCAAACCAACCTGACTGCTCCATCCAGCATCACTCCCAGAATCTTTGGGGAGGCGGGGTGGAGGTGGGGGAGCAGCTGAGCTCACCCTGGAAATTCCCACCCCCTTGGACTTGGAGTACCTTGGGTCCCAACTGCTTCCCTGGCTCTCTGAAGCGTTTCCGGTTACTCCTGTCAGCGGGGTTTACTGGCCCTCAAATACTAGATCCACCCCGGAGCTGAGGTCTGTCACTGTGTTAGGGTTATTCGGCTTTTCAGGAGAACAGCTTTATTGGTATCATTATTCTCCTTATCATGTATTTGCTTTATATTTCACGTGTTTCTGTCAGTATATTGTTTTCTTTCTTCTACTTGATGTGAGTTTTACTTGCTTTTTCTAATTTCCCAGGTTACATTTTAGATCACTGATTTTCAGCCTCTATTTCTCTGATGTACCAATTTATATCTGTATCTTTCCCTGTAAGTATAGAATCAGCCACCTTATACAATTATTGGCAAATCTTCATTGTCACTTAGTCCCAAATACATTCTCATTTCCCTTGTGATTTTGTTCTTTTTTAAAAAATGGTTTATCTTTAAAAGGGCATCTCACCAGGTGGAGTGTGCGTGACTGTAACCCCAGCACTCGGGAGGCTGAGGCAGGAGGATCATTGTGAGTTTGAGATCAGCCTGGGCTACAAAGTGAGCTCCAGGCCAGCCTGAACTGCATAGCGAGACCCTGTCTCAAAAAGACAAAAAGAAAGTGTGGTTTGCAGCTTTCTAGTTTACCTTTGATTACTGACTTTGCAGTTGGTTTTATTGTGATTAGGTGACTTTTTAGCAGTGCGTCTAGCACAGCGCGATAGGTTCCATCCTGACAGTTCACATACGCACAGAACGCACCTTGCTCGTGTCCACCCTGCTACACCCCATCTCTGATGGCCCCGATTTCCACCTCTTTCCCCCTGTATTCCACATACAGGAGAGCATGTGAAACCTTGAAATACGGCCTGGCACGTGAGGCGGGGACCTCACCGTCTGTCTAGCTTTGTGCCTCCCGGCCCCGTAGGCAGTGGCAGGCAGTGCTCGGTTAACAATGATCAGTCCAAGCTCCAGCACGCTTCCCACGCCTTCCCCCGTCCTCCTGTTGATTACACTTACGTCTTTTGCCGTTAAAATGTTGTAGTTTTTTTTTTACAACCACGTCCCTCCTCCTGTTTTCCTTTTTGAAACAAATTCTGGATGAATACAGTTTGTTACTCGCCCACCCCCAGCCTCCCCTAGTCTTCAACAAGGAACGGATTTTGTTTTAATACTTTTTTTAAAGACAAGCTTTAGATTCACAGCAGCACTGAGTGGAAACGGCAGGGAATTCCCGCATCTTCTGCCCCGGGGGTGCCACCTGCCCACAATGTCTCTCACGTGGGTTCGTCCGCTGTGACCTGCGAACCACGGCGGCTGCAGTCTCTGCTTGTAGACGGAGTGGTATTTCCAGCTTGAAAGGGACTCACGTTTAGCGGTATTCGCACCCAGCGGAGTGCTACCGCCGTAAAGAAAGTAAACAACCCTTGTAGCCAAATGGGTGCCACTTGAGACCATAATTTTTCCCCAGTACTGGGAACTGAACTCAGGACCTCGTGCTTGCCAGGCAGGCGCTGGTGCCGCTGAGCTAACTCCCCAGCCCCGAGGACAGAGTGAGTGAAATCATCAGACCCGCAAGCTTAGATACTGCACGGCTTCTCTCACACGAGAAACTCAAAGTACTTACACAAATAAAGAGCAAAATAGAAGACAGACAAGCAGGTCAGGGGAGAAGTTCCAATAACTGCTCAAATGACCTGTTCTACTGTTTCAGAAATATCTCATATATATGCTAACTTACTTCATTTCTTCTAGTTTCTCTTAGTTCATTGCAAAGAAGGTTGTGTGCCAGTATCTGTTTGTTTCTTATTTGTAAGGAGCCTTTTTGGTTATGTCTTCTATCTTGAGTAACTTCTTGCAAGATTATGATACACAGTATACTATTGTTATCTTCTTATTTTGTTATGAAATCTTACTGTTTATAAAAACACAGTACTCACATTTAAAGATTTAATGCATATTACCGTATTACATTTCCAAAGACCCTGTCAGAGTCATCCCTGTCAGGAGTGCTCGGGAGTCCCCAAGCTCCGAATGTTTACCACACCTCAGTGTAATAAAACTTTTACTGTGTGCCAGCACACGATCGTCAGAATTATATTCATTATTTTCATTTGCATTTCTGATCCTTGACTTACCTTTTCAACTGGCTTCTTGCAAGAATCTGTGTTGTCTTATTTTTAAACTGTAACTGTGTGCGCCCCATGAACAGGTTTTAGGGTACAGGGCTGGGCTCTTCTGTGTCTCCCTGCTGGGCAGAACCGCTGGCTTTGCCGTTTTCGGGATTCTTACTGCACCGGGTTCGGGACCTGAAAGCTTCCTTCCGTTCTGCTGACTTGTTCACCTGTTTCTGTGCCAGTGCAGTATGGCTTTTAGTTTAGCAAAACGAGTCCTTCCTTGACTCTCTTTCTCTCTTTCCGTCTGTTCTCAGCTCTTCTAGGGCCAGGCTCGTATTCTGCGCATGAAACTTAAACTCCTGTCCAGCCCCCCACCTCCCTGCCGCGGTCCCAGGTTTGCTATAGAAACCATCATTAGACTTGCACTAAGTTTCTTTATTAAAAGCCTGTGTCCTTTTGAACACCGATGTACAGGAACACAGAGCCCAGAGGGGACAAAAACCCCTGGAGCCCCCAAAGTAGGGGCGTCCCTGAGCCTCGGGCCCCAAGGTTCGTCATCACTGCTGCCCTTTAAACCTGACCTGACTGCCAGGACCCCGGGGCACCTCCCTGGGAGGAGCTGGGCCCTGTGTGCTGTGTCCCCAGTGTTCCGAATTTGTCATCAAGATACTGACTTGGTTCTCCGAGGAGCACTGCGACTTCACACCTCGCACCCACCGGCCAGGTCGCCTCTGGTCCAGATGCCAGCGATGCCTGGAGTTCCCTTGGGCTTTGGAGGCCGGCTCTTCTCACAGTTTTAAAGGTCGCTGGGAGGGTCGGCGTCCGTCACTCTTGTGTCATCTGGTGCCATCTAGACATGATTTCCGACTCTTTAGGCTCTGTGGGGACCATGTACTTAAAGAGAAAGCAAAGCAACAAAGTCAAGCCAGCATCAGCATCGTCATCGTGATGCCTGCAACCGCACAGGAAGGAAAATCCAGCGTGGTGAGCTTCGAGGTCACTGCGAGCACACTGCCCCCCTGTCTGGGGTCCGATGCTGGGCACCACGGCGGAAGGAGGGGCGGTTTTGGAAGTGTAGTGCTGTCACATCCCCTGTGGACTGGATGAGACGAACGTGGGGACCCCACAGGTCTGACCTGGGACTGGACTTTCCCACAATCGGGGGAGAACCAGGATTCAAGCCACGGTTTCTGGCCATCAGTGTCAGCGAGAGGAAGCTGCAGACCGAGCTCTGGAAATGGTCCCCAAGCTCGGGCTCTGCCATCTCCCTCTGTGCTCTGTGAATGCAGAGCTCCTGCCACACGGCTGGATCTGAGTGCCTAGCTGGCTTGTTGTCAGTGGCCCGCGCATCCCTGGTGGTAACACCCACCAGAGCCACTCACTGTCTTCATCCAGCCCGCTGCAAATGCTGAGGTTGGACCTGGCGCTCTCCGTGGCTCCTAGGGTTGAGCCTGGAGCTGGTGTCATCCGGTGCGGTCCAACCCATGTGTCCCCTCGCTCTCAGATGCTAGCCCAGTAGCCTAGGGAAGCCACAGCCCTCTTGTGTCACCCGTCAAACCC